GGTAGCTCACAGTTAATCACTTGAAACATTTTAAAAAAACAAACAAAATTGTTGCTTGTAGTTGTCTTTAACCTTAACAGTGCAAGTAGGTACTAAACTCAAACTACATAATCTGTGCTGTAAAAATTATTTAGTGTTTTAGTTTATGTTGCTTTTCTTTAATGCATCCATCCTTTGGAGAAGAATATTTATTTTCAAAAATAGAATGACTTATTTGTCAATAAGTCATTATTTGTCAAAATAAGTTTTCTTTCCTTACAAAAGAGATTGGAATACTATTTCATTAAATGTGTTTGTTAGCTTGCAAGTTGCAAAACCAACCTTCTTCCAGTGCAATTTCACAGTGTTCTCTTATGAACAAGCTCCTTTAATTTATCTGGAGCTTATTCCTGGTCAGTAATAGGCGTATGATTTAGAAACATATGCTATTTGGTTAAGTTGAATGAGAGAAATGCAGTACCTGTGAAATTATCAGATAGTACCATGAATTATGGCTTGATCAAGCAAAGCCTCCATTTTAGGATTTGGTGTGTGTGCATGTGCCCTCTTACTTGGAGATTGAAATGTATAACAGCAGGTTTGTCTTTGGTTGTTCTTTAAATAATCTGTCATTCTTTTATATAGTTCTTCTGTGTATTGTTTGCATTGTCTTTATTTCTGTGTAATGTGTTTCCTTGCTGTTGTAGAGCATCCCCACTCTAGGGTTAAATTTCCTTTTACTTTCTCGGATCTTGTGGAAGAGGTCTCCTGTTATTCCTTTTTTGTTGTCATCTTCTGTTTTTCTGCATTAATTGTTATAGTAGTTCTCTTTGTCTTTGCATGCTTGTTATTGAACAAATGCATTCAGGGTTCTAACTCTATTTCTGTCTCCTTTTCCTTTTGCTTCTGGACTGCCCGTAACTGTTTGAAGAGTTTCAACTGTCAACCATTTCTCCTTCCTTTTGCATTCCTTTCTGACAGTGTCTGACAGTGTCCCCAGCTTCATTCCAGAGTTCCTCTGGGCCCCGCTAAGCCCCAGCCCAAGCTTACATGACAGTAGAAATCTGCTTAGGTAAAAATCCATTCACTCTGCTAGGATTCTAAGTAAGACCATTTAGTTGAAGGCTATGTCCAAAATTTTCTAAGGCAAGGTCTGGTAGTTACTAGGCAGAGTACTATTTCTCAGTTACATAAATTTATGGTGTTTCATTGGTAAAAACATAAACCACAGTCACGAGCTATTCTCTTGTGGGTTTATACTTACAAAAACAACCTTTAGTGCAATGGACTTGTTTAAATGCAATGCTAAACCTTCATTTACATGAACATGTTAAGGCAAGCAGACTTCACACTTGTGTCATCTTCCTTTCTCTGATAACACTATGAAAAGTTTCTGAAGCTTTTGTGTCTGTTACAGATTAAGCTCAAATTTGCTTTGTCGCCTATACCTGGACAAATTGTGATTAATCTGTATCAGGGTTGGGGGAAAATAGTTTTTTTAAACAACAACAACAACAACAACAACAATGAAACTAAACTGATTTTTTTGTTTAAACCAGGTTTCTTTTTGCATTAATGTTTTAATGAAAAAAATTGAATCATGCTTATTATATTAATACTGTGAAATGTTATTTTATGTATTTGAAAGCTTTATCTTTCTAACATTAACAATCCAAATTTACTAGCGTTTGATATGATTTACATCTTTCAATAAAACACCAGTTTTTACTGCTTATTATTCCTATTAAATCTATGTAGACTATACATAATGAAACATACAAAGTACTCTCAGATTAAAACAAGATTAAATTAATGTTAAGCATTAATCCTATATATTAGTTTTCAGAGATACAAACAAAAAAGAAGTTAAGCATTAGGACCAGCATTAAATAATAGTGTTTATTGGAATAAAAGTTTAGAGTCTGTTTAAACCACTAGGTTAAATAATTATTGTTTTATAAAAAGTGTTCTTTTAAAGCAAGCGGTTTTGATTGAATTGATGTTAATTGGGGGATTTGTTTCTGAATGGCATTTCTTTCACTACAAAATAATGTGATTAAAAAGAAGCAACTGACATTGGATATTTGGTCTAATATACTGAACAACTGCTAATAAAATTAAAATTGAAATAGTCATTGTTGTCATTGTTTCAGTAAAGGGCTCAAAAATTGTAATAATAGTATTTAAAAAAAGAAGAAATCAATTAAAAACACAGGAGTGTTTGGGGGTTTTTAAATTTGGTTTAAACCCAGGTTTAAACCCAACCCTGATCTAATTATATTTTGTTCAAACAAACCAACTTCACACAGTAGAATCATAGAGTTGGAAGAGACCATAAGGGCCATCCAGTCCAACCCCATTCTGCAGTGCAAGAACACAGAATCAAAGCATTCCCAACAGATGCTTAAAGACCTCCAAAGAAGCATCTGTTTAAAGACCTCCAAAGAAGAAGTAGTAGTTTATAAGCTGACTTGTTCCAACAAGCAATATTTAAGTTTGAGTAACTTTTGTGTCCTGCCCAAAGCCTGAACTGCAGTTAATCTAAATGGAAGCAGAAACTTCCAATTTGTTTCCATTTTCTCTGGGTTTCTATGTTAGGGTAGGTTTTAGGAATCATTACTTTAAAGTGAAAGGCAAATTAAGTGATCTGTTGAACTTCACTAGATAGCTCAAGGGACAATGCTGACATTTGGAGCAGAGACCTTTCTGATAGCCTGCATGCATATGGAAGGGGGAACTTTTTCTTAATAGAATGTAGCCTCAAGTCATTTAAAGGTTAAAAATCATCACTTGAAGTTGTGCATAGAAATTAATTGGAAACCAGTTGGATATTTTAACATGTATATTATATTCTCTCATTTAGTTGTCTTCACTCAAGAAATGGGCTACTGTTGTATTCGGGTAGCTTCTGAGTAGACACATCACAGTACTGTAGTTCAATCTATACATTAGATGCACAGCAGTAAAAGTTTCTTGTATTACAAATTAAATGTTCTTGTTTTCAGTTTCCAAACTAACTAATACTATACAGACAGCTGGCAGATCTGGTTGAGTAGAGTGATTTATATTCCTGAAAAGTTTGAATCTCACAGTACCTTAAATTGATCGGCATCTAAATTAGCAGGTTCATTTGACTTATTTAACAGGCATATATTATTTTAATTTTACACATTGTATAAATTAAGTGATGTGTTTTTGTTTGGAAGAAAAAGGAACTAAAGAATTTGATTTGGAAAAATACTTAGGAAAAAAATTTAGTAAAAGACAATCCCAAATGCCTAAACAGATTTACTAAGGAGGAAGCCTACATGAATGCAGTGATACTGACTTGATGTCTGAGTAAATGCCTGCTATATGTCTGGTTTGAGTGACAGTTCAGTTGTATTCACTTTATTTACTTTTCTTTAAATTTTAAGATACTGCATGCTACTAAAATACTGATTTTATTTTACCTAAAGTGCTGTATATTAAAGAGTTTGCCTAGATATATCTTCTCGCTTTCTAACCATGATTGAGGGTGGTGGCGATGCGGTGTGTTTTGGACCTAACACAGCTGTCTCTTTGAACAGATCATGAAAAGTGGTTAACTGGTAGAGAGGAAGGATTGCTAAAGTTTCAGTTACTGATATTTAGCAGGAAGGTTACGCTCTAACAATTAACAGCCATTTCAAAATATGTAGATCTAAAGCAGTATGTGTTAGAAAAATAAATAATGAATGAGAACTTCAAATGATACCTAGTTGTCTAGTCCCCGAACTTGCTGATGCAGACTGAAATAGTAGATTAGTGTGGTTGGCATCTCAGCTGTTGCCATCGAGTCCTTAATCATCATTGCTTCAGCTGCTATAGCTCTTCAAGCAAGCAGATAGTGAAAGAGTTGGGATGTACTGCCAGCTTTGGATCCCTTGGCAGTTACTCTTCCTTATTTGAAAAGACCCTGGCCGGGAGTATGATCTGCTTATCATTTGTTTGTATTGTCTGCTTATAATGTACTGTCTGATGCTGAAAAATGTAGGAATTATTTTATATTTTTATGCATGCTGGATGGATAAGCTAGCTTTAATTGTAGATGTATAATCAGGAGTTGTATGTAAGTGGCACTTCATTTTTAATCCTTAATAGATGTATGTTCTCACACTTGTAATATTGTCAGTGTCAGTCTTCTACTGCTGTTGCAAGTCCTTTACAGGTAGTTTCAGAGTTCAGATTTCTAATTCCTTTTTGGAATATAGGAATGAGACATGTCCTCTGGCAGTACATTTGTATTCTGGCTCAGGCTGTAAAATACCACAATGCTACTGCAGAGATCTGGTTTCTTCCTGAAGTGTAATACCATCCTTTCCTGTTTACCAAGAAGGTAAAACTTTTCTTTCCATACCATGTATATGTCTGGTGATTAATAACAAAAATGTTGCCATTTTTGAAGAGTAGAGGGCTTTTTAATAACTGTCTTGTCTAAGAATTTTAAAGATACATCCTTTTGCAAGAGAAAAACTTTTTTTAACAGTTGTGTGGAAAAGTGAATCTAGTTCTGTTGAAATTATCCTTCCTCCAGACATTATAAAGAAGACAAGCATCTTACTCCATGTGAAGACTATTGGTTTTAAGATGAGGAAAATCTAGATTTGAGAGGAGGCAGCCTATTAAAATAGAATACTTTTCTGGTAATTTTTGATACATTTTCTAATAATGCCTTTCCCCTCAAATTAGTGCAAGCTTTGCACCAAATAAAACCATTTAGGTGAATCTAGTCATACTTATAGTAGACCCAGTGAAATAAGTTAGTTGTTTTAGTGGGTGTACTCAACTATGAGTAAGTCTAGATCCAACTAATTAGCATTAGAATATTGTTATTAGTTGTCTCTAACCATACATATTTGATGTTGAGTTAATCAAATATGGTATGTATGTATGTATGTTGTTGTATCCCTTCCAGTCATTTTGGACTTATGGTGACAGTAAGGCAACTGTACCATGGAGTTTTGAGTGTGTGACTTGCCCAAGGTCACCCAATGGGGTTCCATGGCCAAGCTGGGATTCAAACCCTAATCTCTACAGTCATAGTCTAATACTCAAACCACTGTGCCATGGTGGCTCCAAATATGTATAGAGACAATGAGTAACAGTCTGTTCTGTGGCAGATAAGCAGATGGTTTTATCACATGTCATATAGTCATTTTATTGAACATATTCAATAATATTCAATAAAATATTCATTTTTATTAAATAAATTCAAATGCATCATTCTAGCATGCAGGTGCAAATACTGTATCTATATAAAAATTACACATTTGGCTTTAATGTTGAGTTTGATTGAATAAAATCTGAGTGCCATAGGAAAGTTTAAATTACACTTGCTTACCTATTTGCTTCTGCATTGCAATTTCTGGTGCTGTCCAGTGGTAAGATGCAAATTATCATTGAACAATGATATCTTGGTTTAATAAGCTAAAATATAATGAATGTCCGCATGTTCTCTTTCTTCTTGACACTCTCCTGTTGACCTCAGAAGCCTTTTAAGTTTCCTGTAGTTTCCTGTTATGTCCCTGAGTAACTGTTGTTACCATTTTTGGAATAAGTCTGGAGTTATTTTAAGAACCTGCCATGTTCTGAAGTCGATGAGTCCAGTTTTGTTCATGAGTACAAGTCGATGAGTCCAGAGTTCATGTGTACATGAACCTGTTGGTAATTCCAGACTTCCTTTAACATATAAAATTGCTTCAGTTCAAAGAATTCATCATTATTGAAACAAGGATCCTCCTCAAAATGTCAAGTGAAAAGGCCAAAAACTACCTAGGTGTTCACATTTTAAAATTAATCTTGAATTTAACAGCAACGTATAGATATTGGTATTTTTACATGTTGTATGTATGAAATTGAAAAGACACAACAGCAGCCACTACCAAAAGAACTCACTGTGATTATATTCTTAGTTAAGATTTATCGGAGTATGACCCTTTTGACCATGCACTTCATCCACAAGTCACACCTTTCATCCTTTCATAGACTAGGAAGTCTGGAATTAATAACAGAATCCAGCTATATCTGAGCTCAGGAAACTAGGCTCATCATCTTCAGAACAAACCAGGTTCTTCAACCAACTTTCACACAGCTGGCCCCCATGCTTCTTCTTTTCCCTTCATCTAGATAAGAAGGAACTTCTGCAGAGTCATTACCTAATGACCACCATGTGTCATTTCCTTCTGTTTCTGTTTGCTTTTTCCTTTTCTTACCATAAAAGACTTCTTTGCTTTATTGCTTGCTTTTGTTGCATGAGTGTGCGGTTTTCTAACTAGTGTAAGTACCTAGAAAAGCAAAGACAGTTGTTAGTGTTTTGACTGTTAACATGTTTCTTCTTAGGGGAGAATTCATTAAAGAATGGATATGAGTTTGTGGACACTGACAGTTTATTACATTTTGTCTTTATTACTTGTACATGAGGAAGAAAGCTTGTGAAATAAAAAAGCACGTAGTAGTGTGTTCATTTGTTCCTCTGAACACTAGTGTTTGTCAGTGTCTGTCTCCTTAGAATAATTTAAAAGTTCATAGCCTATATTTAATTCCTATATTTAATAGGATCTTGCTTTTTGCTTCCTGCTTAACGTATGGCATGTTTACAGCCTATGGATGGGGCTACCCAACCAAAACATTTATGTAACACTAGAAGGTTCTAAAAGATACACTGTGCAGGTACAGGATAACCCATTTGTGTGAGTTCACAGATGATCACTGGAAGAACTATAGTTACAGGCATGCAATATGTATGTCCTTAATCATTTGTACTGGAGAGAATTTGCAGCTTCTTTATGAAGTGCATATCTCTGATCATTCTAATGAGACTTTTATTGTGAAATTCTTTCAAAATAACCAAACATTATTGTGAAATACTTAAATCAAAAGATATCTTGTAAAAGTAGTTATCACGTTCATCTGCCAGTAGTCTTATTTTTGTGATATTAAGCCTGCCTGATGATATAATAAAGGGGCCCCAATTCATAGCAGGAACACATATGTGATCTGCATATGGATACAGCTGTATATTTTATTTTCTAAACTGATGAAGTACTCGTACCCTGTTCCAGTTTTTATAACTTGCTCTGTTTCTCTTGGATATTTTAATGCTCGTCTAAGACAAGGAAGACTTGGATGTCAAAGGAACATTTAAACAGAGGCTTTTGTTCCAGTGATATTCCTCTTATGTATTTTTAATGTTACATCAGAATGTCATGGCTATATCCTCAGTTGAGGCAGAATAGATTGTGAAATGCAGGCTGTGACTAATCCCTTTCTGCTGTCACTGCTTATTAGCTCTGATATGGTTTGTGGCCTGCTTGTACTACTTTGCAACGTGTGGCTGAAAGGTTAGGGTATTTTGTGACAAGTTGCTCCAAATATGCATGTATAGGTTTCAATAGACTCTTTCAAGGGAATGTTACTGCACATTCTTAAAATGTCCCATTGGTCTCATTCAGTATGCTGACAGACTTGAGTTGGGATTAGGGATCTGCAGATTTTAACTGGCCTTGATAACAAGATCATTGGACTCTCAAGTTGCCTAGGGAAATTTGCAGGCTCAATAAACACTCAAAATGTAGGGCTATTTGCTGCTTTTTAAGTATCTTCTGCACTTTGTGAGGAATAGCCCTTACATCTCTACAGAATTAGAAAAGACCTTGACTGTCCTTGATGCTTTCTTTGCTTATGCCAAACCAAAAAGTGGCAACTTTGTCAATCTATTTGTTCAACTGTATTCAAGACTCAATGAGTATTCTACAGTAGGTTTAGGACCTGCATTTATGTAGTAGGATTCTCCCCTCCCTTTCCCTATCCATGGGAGTTTGGTTCTGGCCTCCCTGCGGTTGAAGAAAAATGTGGAACTGAAGCCCTATATTATTCATTGAGCAGTGACATCAGCATGTCCATGAACATGTGCTTCCATTGAACAATATGAGGTGTGGAAAGTTGTGGATGCTCCAATCTCTGGATAGCTACCTCACTGATACAGCAGGCCCACTGTGCATGCATGTGGGAATACTGAAGTTGAAAGACCGAGGGAGGTCTGTTTGTTGAAATGTTGAGATTTATATTTGCATAGTAATTTAGAACATTGGCTTATTTTATTTTTGCTTATCCAACTCATGTCTCTCCAGACTTGCATCTTCATACTCAAATAAGAAGACATCTTCATACTCAAATCAGAAGCGAGAACGCTTACTTATTAGGCAAAACGTGTGGACTTCAGCTTGCATTACATTTCTCTCCTTGTGCAGATCCCCCCCCCCCCCAGCTTTCTGTTATTCTAGATTACAGCGATGTTGGAACTATGCACAGTCCTAACCAGGACTGCATCTGAGCCATGTTTTGCAAGCAGATGTCAAGCTGTGATTTGGTAATTTATGTACAGTAGCGCTAACCACACTTTGCCAGGCTTAGAAGCTAGTGCAGAATATGGTAAGGGAAGAAGTATGCAAACAAGTGACACTCTTATATACCTTCAGAATGATAGTTCTGAAGGCTGGAAGGTGGTATCTTATTTGAACCAAGTTTTCCATAGTTTCTGACCTCATCTTTAGCCCTCCATCCTGTTTTGTGTGCTCTGGTGTACATATATTCTAGAGGGCTCATGCTTGTTGTCATTTAAAAACTGAAACCATACATTATAGATGTTAAGATCTTGTGCTAGGGAGAAGGGTGCTTTGAGGTTGCTTGTGCACATAATACAACATTCAAATAGCTATGGTGGAAGAGAAGGTTGAGTCTTGAGAGGCTAGATTTTTCCCCCTCAGTGCTTTCCATCTTTACAACCTTTTTGATCTATTGCAGCCCTCAGTGTAAAAATATTTTTAGTAATCAGTAGCATACTTTTGTAAAAGTGTAGCTCATGTGCCTCAGGAAATAGTAAACCTTCTGTGTTCGTAAGCCTTCCCTTCCACTTATGTGGACAACAGAACAGGTCTATGATGAGAAAATATGCAAGCAATAAAGAAGTGTTTGGATAGTAATTGGCTTGCCAGCGATATGTGAAAGATTGCAAGTTTTACAGTAGTAAATATAACCTTGAATTTCTCAGCTGTTTGTCAGTCTATATGTTCCTATGATAGCCTTTTGGGAGAATGGAGGCCTGTGTTGAGATGTATCAGAATGGAATTATTTTTCCACAGCATTCAGAGGATGTTAGTTCTTGAATAGTGTCTTGTATTTTAACCTTCACAGTTACAGGAGGAAAACCAAAGAATACAGTAATGGAAGGTGGGACAAAATCCTGAAACTGAAATTTAGTTTGCTTTAACATCTTGGAACAAAGTGTTGGAAAGAAATTTGTTTTTGTCAGCATGTTTGTAACACACTTTGATTTTGTTTTATTTAGTATAATATCTAGAACATGAAGGAATTGAACTCGTAAAAGTCAAAATTTGAACAACTGAACGTGTAAAAAAATGCAGCTTCAGAATAATATATGGGTTCATTTCTGTCCAGGATAAATTTTCTTTTGTCACCAAAAACTGCCCGAGGTTTTCAAAAAGGAGCTGTTGATTTCTATTTCCTCTAAACAATTGGGTGATGAATGCAAACTTTGACATAACCTTTGTGGTTGAATTGCATAGACTGATTCCATGATGCAAGTGCTTTAGACAAGGTACAGTGAAGCATCATACAAGTTAGTTCACAGAATGTCAGTCTGATTAGGGAAGAGGGTAGTTTGTCTTACAAATGACTTCTAACATGTAAATAGTAATGATGTGAATGATGTACTTTTGACATCAGAGATTGATTTTCATTTTTTTTTCCTCCCCATTCTAGGTTTTTTTAAAGGACAGTGTGGTGTTGCATGGATGCTTTAGTAGTAGAGTGCAACTGACTACCATGTGCTAGGATACGAAGTTTGTGGATTCTTTTACCTGTGCTTCTGGATTATAAAGAAGGAAACAGTTAAAATGGGGAGGAAGAAAATACAGATCACAAGAATAATGGATGAACGGAACAGACAGGTAAGAAATTATGCTTTCTCGAGAGTTTAGTCAAGTAATGAAAAACTGAGCCATACATTCACTTTAAAAAAAAGCGTACCTGTTAACTTGTACATTTGTCCAAGAA